AAAAAAAAAAAAAAAAAAAAAAAAAAAAAGAAGCGTCACCTGAGGCCGGGCGCAGTGGCTCACACCTGTAACCCTAGCACTTTGGGAGGCTGAGGCAGGTGGAGTGCTTGAGGTCAGGAGTTCGAAACCAGCCTGGCCAACATCGTGAAATCCCATCTCTATTAACAGTACAAAAAATTGGCCAGGCACGGTGGCTCACACCTGCAATCCCAGCACTTTGGGAGGCTGAGGCAGGTGGATCACAACGTAAGGAGATCGAGACCATCCCGGCTAACACGGTGAAACCCTGTTTCTACTAAAAATACAAAAAATTAGCTGGGCGTGGTGGCGGGCACCTGTAGTTCCAGCTACTCTGGAGACTAAGGCAAGAGAATGGTGTGAACCCGGGAGAAGGAGCGTGCAGTGAGCCAAGATTGTGCCATTGCACTCTAACCTGGGCAACAGAGCGAGATTCCGTCTCAAAAAAACAAATAAACAAATAAATAAACAATACCAAAAAAAGTAAAAGTAGCCATGTGAGATGGTGTATGCCTGTAAACTTAGCTTTTTGTGGGAGGCTGACGTGGGAGGATTGCTTGAACCCAGGAGGTGGAGGTTGCAGTGAGCCGAGATTGCGCCACTGCACTCCAGCCTGGGTGACACCCAGAGACTCAGCCTCAAAAAAAAAAAAAAAAAGAAGACCGGGCGCAGTGGCTCACGCCTGTAATCCCAGCACTTTGGGAGGCCGAGGCAGGCAGATCACCTGAGGTCAGGAGTTTGAAAGCAGCCTGGCCAACATGGTAAAACCCCATCTCTACCAAAAATACAAAAAAAAAAAAGCCAGGTGTGGTGGTGGGTGCCTGCAATCTCAGCTACTCAGGAAGCTGAGGCAGGAGAATTTTGAACTCAGAAGGTGGAGGCTGCAGCGAGCCGAAATGGCACCACTGCACTTCAGCCTGGGTGACAGAATGAGACTTCCAAAAAAAAAAAAAAGCAGTAGCATCACCAGGTCCGCTTGGCAGACACGTTCCGTCCACCCCACTGATTAATTCTGGGCACGCGGCTGTGTCCCTAAGGCGCTGGTAGTCCCCCAACCACTGAGGGCTTTAGAGCCATACTGGGGAGGCAGACAAGTGGGCAGACTTCCACGGTGCAGGTACTGAAACCGAGGGTTCCAGGGGTCCCGGGAAAAGCGGCCTGAGCACAACCTCGAGGGATGAGTAGTGGACGCTGACAGGGGAGAAGCGGCATGGGGTGCGGAGGAACGGGCTGGGGCAGACAGGGGCCACAGCTCACAAGGAGGCTGCGCTGACCCACACGGGGCCTCCTGGGCCAGGCCAAGAAGCTGGAAGTGCACCCAACGGCCAGGATGGGGGAGCCAAGGAACACAGGAAGGGCAAAGGTCCTGAGGGGCTGCAGGTGAGTAGGGAGGTCCATGTGACTGTCCTGGTTGGCAGGAAGAAAGGGGACCGATGAGAGGGAAACCAGAAAGAGGCTGCGCATGAGAGGGGTCAGAGGTCCACGGCATCGCCCACAGCAAGGAAGAGGAGGGCAAGTTTTCCTCCCAGATTGGGCAGAGGATCAAACGCTGGGCACGAGGCGGGTGGGGGTGGGTGCTAGCGGCCGGCTCCTCAGCAGGTGCTCGGGCGGCTCCACCAGAACTCCCCCGGGACCCGCTGCTCACCTGGAAAGAACACAAACATCTGGTCGGTGGGGTCATCGTTGTGGGCCACCAGCACGGTGAGGTCAGTGCGCCGCGGCCGCCCCTCACTCGGCTTGTCTCCAAATTGGGCTTTGAACTCCTCCAGTGTCTGGTCAAGCTCGTCCTGGGTCACTAGGTAGCCACGGTCATGGCACAGCTGCAGAGAGAAAGAACCAGCTGACCCCAGGGCAGAGACAGGAAGGCGGCCAGAGCTCGTGACCCAGAAGTCAGACCTGTGGCTGCTGCAGAGGACAGAGGTGAACAGCAAACGGAATGAACACTCGCTGTGTGCCCCACGACGGCCATCCTGGCCCCCACAACCCCACACCACAGGATGGGACCAGCATGATCCCGAGAGGCTCGCAGAGGTGTCCAGCCTTGACCAAGACCGTCTGTCCATCCAGCCTCACAGGAACCTGGCAGGGGGCAAAGCCCTCCAAACCACTTTGCAGGGCTACCCTAAAGACAGGGACAAAGACGGGGCGTGGGGGGTCACACCCGCGATCCCAGAGCTCAGGGAGGCCGAGACAGGAGGGCTGCTTGAGGCCAGGATTAGGATGCAGTGAGCTATGACTGCACCACTGCGCTGCAGCCTGGGCGACAGAGTGAGACCTTGTCTCTTAAAAAAAAAAAAAAGGACAGGGACTGAAACACATGTGACTTCAGGCTGACAATGTTTGCGGCCCGGAGTTAGAAGAATCAGGCTGCGGGCCAGGCGCGGTGGCTCAAGCCTGTAATCCTAGCACTTTGGGAGGCCGAGACGGGCGGATCACGAGGTCAGGAGATCGAGACCATCCTGGCTAACATGGTGAAACCCCGTCTCTACTAAAAAAATACAAAAAACTAGCCGGGCGAGGTGGCGGGCGCCTGTAGTCCCAGCTACTCGGGAGGCTGAGGCAGGAGAATGGCGTAAACCCGGGAGGCGGAGCTTGCAGTGAGCTGAGATCCGGCCACTGCACTCCAGCCTGGGCGACAGAGCGAGACTCCGTCTCAAAAAAAAAAAAAAAAAAGAAGAATCAGGCTGCGGGGGGCTTCGGTAAAGTCAAGGGCATGGGGTGGGGAAGCAAAACAAAGCAAAAGCTCCCAAACGGCCCCAGCGGCTGAGGCAGGACCCTGAACCGCAGGCCCTCAGGCCTTTGCACAGCTTCCAAACCGGAGTCGGCCCAGTGGCCTCCATCTGCCTCAGACCCCAAGGCACGGGTTCCGGGCTCCACGTCCCCATCGAAAGCCCCAGCTCGCCTGCTGCTTCCCGACCACCAACTCCGTCAGCCTCGGATGCTGAGACGCCCTGGGGTTCAGGACGCAAGGACAAATGGCGACGCTGAATCACAGAGAGGGGCAGGGTCTGGGGGCGCCCCCCGTCCCCATTCGCACCTTCCTCCACTCGCCGCCATGCGCGCCGCACCAGCCCGAGCCGTCCGCCCACCCCTAAGCCCCGCACCCAGACGTCTCGAAACCCCCTCCCTTCCCCGCTGCCTGCTCAGGTCGGGCCCAGCGCCTGGGATCCCCGGCGGCCTCGGGGCTGCCCGTGTCGGCCGGGCCCTCCGTCGCTGCTGCTCCGACGGGAGTACGAGGAGACGCCGAGCTCGACCTCACCTCGGGCCCCTGCACCTGCTGCTCGCGCCCCCGCCCCCAATACCACGCGCGGCTCACCTGCATGATGGTCTTGCGGATTTTCCAGAGCCGGTACGTCTCCTCCTCGTCGTCCATCGCCGCCGCTCGCACCCGTTTTGCGCGCGAGAACCCGCGCGGACTGCGCCTGCGCCGACTTCCAATCAGGCCCCCTCCACGTAACCCCGCCCCGCGCTGGGCTGTCGTCGGCGAACGCCTGAATGCAGCAACTTCCGGGATCGGCAGCGCCAAGGGCAGCCCGAGCCTTGCGAGAGCGGCAGCTTGCTGCGCGAGACTCTCCCTCCGTAGTTCTCGTGTGTCTTTGGCCGCACGGCCTCTCGGGAGTTGTAGTTTCCGTTCAACTCCCACGTTGCGGCGACAGTTTAGAATCCCATGAGGCGGGGGCGAAGTGTGGGCGGGGAAACTGAGCCCTGGAATGGGTCAAGGGGCAGCTCGGCTCCTAGGGACGGTCGGGGAGCCTAGTGGGAACTCTATAAATATTTGTGCGTCAAACTCTACAGGGTTTCCTCTGTTGGCTCCAGGCCAGGTCAGGGTTAATGCCCTTGGGCCTCAGTTTCCCTACCTGTGCAATGGCAATAAAGTGTCCCTACTTTAGACGGTTAACTGAGAGTCTTAGGTAGAGCCAGGCATATCTCTAGGTGCTAATTAAGTCCCCTCACTTCTGTCCTCTCCCCTGAGCGCCAGCCTAGCCTGGGTATCTCCCCACCCCAGACTCGTCCTGTCTTTGCAAACCTCCTGACCTCCCCAGATTCACGGAGGATCCCAGCCCAGCACTCACTGTGTGAAGGCAATCAGTCACTTATTCAGTGATGCATTCATTAATTCAGCATTTACTCAGCAACCTACAGTGATGGTGAATAAAAACAGGCCAGGTATCCCTTGCATTCAGAGACAGGATTTAGTAAAATAACGTTACCGGGCACAGTGGCTCATGCCTGTAATCCCAGCACTTTGGGAGGCTGAGGTGGGCAGATCGTGAGATCAGGAGTTTGAGACCATCATGGCAAACATGGTGAAACCCTATCTCTACTAAAAATACAAAAAATTAGCCGGACCGGGCCAGGTGCCCGTAGTCTCAGCTACTCGGGAGGCTGAGGCAGGAGAATCTCCAGAACCTGGAAGGTGGAGGTTGCAGTGAGCCGAGATCGCGCCACTGCACTCCAGCCTGGGCCACAGAGTGAGACTCTGTCTCAAAAAATAAACAAACAAATAGGCCGGGTGCAGTGGCTCATGCCTGTAATCCCAGCACTTTGGGAGGCCAAGGCAGGTGGATCATGAGGTCAGGCGTTTGAGACCAGCCTGGCCAGGATGGTGAAACCCTGTCTCTACTAAAAACTACAAAAAGTAGCCGGGTGCGGTGGTGAGCACTTGTAATCCCAGCTACTCGGGAGGCTGAGGCAGGAGAATCGCTTGAACCCGGGCAGGCGGAGTCTGCAGTAAGCCGAGATCATACCATTGCACTCTAACCTGGGCGACAGGGCAAAACTCCGTCTCAAAAAATATATATATAATAATAATAAATAAATAAATAACAACGTTAGAAAGTGACAAAGCTATGGAATAAGAAAGAGCAGAGAGGCTGTCACATGGGGAGAAGGGGAGACCTGTCGTATCAAATGGGGAGGTCAGGGAATACAGTGAGGACAGATTCAAGCAAAAATCCCATTAGGTGCAGTGGCTCATGCCTGTAATCCCAGCACTTTGGGTGGCTGAGGTGGGCAGATCATGAGGTCAGGAGTTCGAGACCAGCTTGGCCAACATGGTGAAACCCCATCTCTACTAAAAATATAAAAATTAGCCAGGTTTGGCCGTGGGCACCTGTAGTCCCAGCTACTCAGGAGGCTGAGGCAGGAGAATCGCTTGAACCCAGGAGGCGGAGGTTGCAGTGAGCTGAGATCACACCACTGCACTCCAGCCTGGGTGACAGAGCAAGTCTCCATCTAGAAAAAAAAAAAAAAAAAAAAAAAAATCCCACTGGGCGCGGTGGCTCACACCTGTAATCCCAGCACTTTGGGAGGCTGAGTGGGAAGGATGGATCCCTTTGTTGTGGTTCTCCAGTTTTTAGTTCTAAGTCCCTGATTTTTTTACACTGATATTTGAGATTCTTTTTGGGGGGCTGTCAGGGGCTGCTTTTTGTTTTTGTTTTTGTTTTTTCCTGAGACGGAGTCTCGCTCTGTCCCCCAGGCTGGACTGCAGTGGCGCGATCACAGCTCACTGCAAGCTCTGCCTCCCGGGTTCAGGCCATTCTCCTGCCCCAGCCTCTGGAGTAGCTGGGATTACAGACGCCACCACCACACCTGGCTAATTTTTTGATTTTTAGTGGAGACAGGGTTTCATCATGTTAGCCTCCCTCAGCCTCCCAAAATGCTGGCATTACAGGCGTGAGTCACCATACCCGGCTGCTTTTTAGGCTTTGACTTTAGGTTTGTGCAAACTTTCTTATCTAACTACCTAACTTTTGTTTCTCACCTTGAGGCCAGGAGTTTGAGACGAGCCTGGGCAACATAGGAAGACCCCATTTATGTTTTTGTTGTTTTTTCTTTGAGATCGAGTCTCACTCTGTCACCCAGGTTGGAGTACAGTGGTATAATCTCAGCTCACTGCAGCCTCCGCCTCCTGGGTTTAAATGATTCTCCTGCGTTGGCCTCCCGAGTAGCTGGAATTACAGGCGTGAGCCACCACACCTGGCTAATTTTTTTGTATTTTTAGTAGAGACGGGGTTTCACCATCTTAGCCAGTCTGGTCTCGAACTCCTGAACTCAGATGATCTGTTTGCCTCGGCCTCCCAAAGTGCTGGGATTAACAGACGTGAGCGACCACACCTGGCCAGGAAGACCCTATTTCTACAAAAAAATGTAAAAATTAGCCGGGCATAGTGGGTGCACCTGTAGTCTCAGTTACTCGGGAGGCTGAGGTGGGAAGATCTAGGATCACCAGAGCCCAGCGGTCGAGGTTGCAGTGAGCTGTGATTGTGCCACTGCACTCTGGTCTGGGCCACAGAGACGCTGTCTCCAAACAAACAAACAGAAAACAAAAACCAGAGGAGGAGAGGGAGGAAACCTGGGGGTGCCTGGGGATAGCTGTATCAGGCAGACAGCACAGCCAGGTTAGAGGCCCTGAGGCTGCGCCTGGCCTGGAGTGTTCCCGGCAGGGAAGGGGCAGGAGAGGAGGTCAGAGGGCAAGGTGGGGCAGGTCCCACGAGGCCTTGCTGGTCAGGGTAAAATGTTTGGAGCTGCTGTGTTGGGAAATGACTGTCTGGAGCCAGGGCAGAAGCGAGAGACCAGGGAGGGACTGGGAAGGCGAACTGGCCACAGGTTGGCGTGGCTCCGACTAGGGTAAGGGCAAGCACAGAGCGGGAAGGGTGCCATAGGGTGAGAAAAAGAGGGAGAAGAGGGGACAAAGCTGTCCCTGTCAGAGCGGGAAGAGGGTGGGAGGGTGGAGGCGTGGAGGTCGAGGTGAGCTCTGGAGTTCAGGGCAAGGTCTGGGGGGATGGACGTGCAAGCAGGGTGGCCACATGGTGGAGATTAGAGCCGGGAGCCTGGACCACGTCCTGGGAACAGAGTAGAGCCCGGGAGAGTGAGTCCAGCCCCGCTGGTGTTCAGAAGCCCGGAGAAGGGGAGGAGGCACCAGCAGGAGGGGAGACTCAGTACAGACACTGGAGCAGCCCCCGAGTTACAGACCTGGCTATGTGATCTCAGGCAGGTTACTCAACCTCTCTGTGCCTCCCCTCTCCCTTGCCTTGTAAAACAGAGACAAGAGGTCGGGCGTGGTGGCTCAAGCCTGTAACCCCAGCACTTTGGGAGGCCGAGGCGGGCGGATCACGAGGTCAGGAGATCGAGACCATCCTGGCGAACACGGTGTAACCCCGTCTCTACTGAAAATACAAAAAAATTAGCCGGGCGTGGTGGCGGGTGCCTGTAGTCCCAGCTACTTGGGAGGCTGAGGCAGGAGAATGGCGTAAACCCGGGAGGCGGAACTTGCAGTGAGCCGAGATCCCGCCACTGCACTCCAGCCTGGGCGACAGAGTGAGGCTCTGTCTCAAAAAAAAAAGAAAAAAAAAAAAACAAAAAAACAGGGACAAGAACAGCACCCACTTCTCAGGGTCATTGGCTAATAATTGCAGTGTACATAGAGCAGCGCCTGGCACCAGCATTGCATAAGTGCTCCTTAAATAGGATTAAGGGCAGGAGGTTGCCAGGTGTCCTGGAAACCTGGCGAGGAAAGTGTCTAGGGGCAGACGGAGGGAGTGGCTGTGTGATGCCACCAGACCGCCAAGTCAGCCTGAGGACTGAGCAGGGATTAGCCCAGCAGACATTGGTTGTGGCTCAAGGAAGGGGGCCAGTGCCTGGCAGGGTGGATTTGGGGGAGAGAGAATTGGAGGTTTGGGGCGGATACATGGGGGATCAGGAGACGGACAGGGCTCAGGAGTGGATTTTATGACAGAAGAAAGGGCATCTGGGTTGCTGGAGTAAAGACCCAGTAGTGCCCTGCAAATCCGGGGCAGGGGTGGATTAAGAGAGGCTAAGCTCAAGCCGGGGGCAGCCTGGATGATAACGGCAGAGTCAGAGGCGCAAAAGTCAGGCCATGATCCACACACAGGGTGGGTGAGAATGTAAGAAGGTGCAGCTGCTGTAGAAAATGGTCTGGTCAGCTGGGCGCGGTGGCTCACGCCTGTAAACCAAGCACTTTGGGAGGCTGAGGCAGGCAGATCACCTGAGGTCAGGAGTTCGAGACCAGCCCGGCCAACATAGTGAAACCCCGTCTCTACTAAAAATACCAAAGTTAGCCAAGTGTGGTGGCACGTGCCTGCAATCCCAGCTACTTGGGAGGCTGAGGGAGGAGAATTGCTTGAACCTGGGAGGTGGAGGTTGGGGTGAGCCAAGATCACGCCACTGCACTCCAGTTTGAGCAAAAAGAGTGAAACTCCATCTCACTCCATCTCAAAAAAAAAAAAAAGAAAGAAAGAAAGAAAAGAAAAGTCTGCTGGATCCTCAAACTGTTACACAAAGAGTCACCATAGACTCAGCAATTCCGCCCAAGAGAAATGAAAACATACGCCCACACAAACACTTGTACAGCTTTACAAACTCAACAGGTGAAAACAACCCAGATGTCCATCCACAGATGAATAAATACACACAATGTGATTCCTCCACACACTGGAATATTTCTCAGCCATGAAAAGGAATGATGAGGCTCCAACACAGGCCACAATGTGGATGCAGCCTGAGGACCTCATGCCCAGTGAGACAGGCCAGGCAAAAAAGGCACACAGTGGGTGATCCCATTTCTATGAAATGTCCAGGACAGGCCAATCCACAGAGACAGGAGGGGATGTGTGGGTGCCAGGTCCTAGAGCAGGAGATGGGGAGTGAAGGCTGATGGGGTCCGGGCTTCCTTTGGGGACAATGAAGATATTCTGGGCTGGGCGCAGTGGCTCACGTCTGTAATCTCAGCACTTTGGGAGGCCTAGGCAGGTGGATCACCTGAGGTCGGGAGTTTGAGACCAGCCTGACCAACATGGAGAAACCCCGTCTCTACTAAAAATACAAAATTAGCCGGGCGTGGTGGCACATGCCTGTAATCCCAGCTACTTGGCAGACTTAGGCAGGAGAATTGCTTGAACCCAGGAGGTGGAGGTGCAGTGAGCTGAGATCGCACCTTCGCACTCCAGCCTGGGAAACAAGAGGAAAACTTCGTCTCAAAAGAAAAAAAAAACATGCCAGGCGCAGTCGCTCATGCCTGTACTACCAGCACTTTGGGAAGCCAAGGCAGGCAGATCACAAGGTCAGGAGAATGAGACTATCCTGGCTAACATAGTGAAATCCCGTCTCTATTAAAAATACAAAAACTAGCCGGGTGTGGTGGCAGGCGCCTGTAGTCCCAGCTACTTGGGAGGCTGAGGCAGGAGAATTGCATGAACCCGGGAGGCGGAGCTTGCAGTGAGCCGAGATCCGG